TATAATATTTTTGAAAAGTAGGTTAAACTTCTACGTCAAGATCAGAAAGTCAAAAGTCATGATATATTTAGAAAAGTCTTTTCACATGTAATATACATGTATAATTTAAATGCCATATCTTTTCTCTTTCAAAATGATTAATTTAAAATGTTATTTTTTGGAAAGTAGGTAAAATTTTGAGGTCAAGGTCTCACTTGGGTTAAAAAATCATAGTACATTTAGAAAGTTTTGTGGTAATGTACATGTGAAATATAAAAGCCCTATCTCATATTATTCAAAAGTTATGATCAAGGTTAAATTTATTGTGACAGATGCACATACTGTCAAAGATGGCCAGACTGACAGACAAATAAGATTTATTATTACCTAACTTACTATCTAAATTATAATTAGGCATTTTGAACTGTTTCACGGTTTACTTTATGTTTTTGCGTGATCATGAAACAGTGAACTGTTGACCGGTCCACAGAATGAACTGTTGACTGGTTAAAGCGTCATTGTGATATTCAAGCGTTTTGATGATCACGACATCACTATTTACCTGCTCTATAATGAATTAAATTTAAACAAAACACACAAACAATAAATTTATTAAGTATTACTTTAAAATAAAAATATTAATTTAGTCTTTATATTATGTATTCAGCTAATTAATAGACAAGTATGTGAATAAACAATTGTGAAAACTTTTTATTGATTGTTTGTGTGTTTTTATTCCAATTTAATTAATTATATAGTAGGTTAGGTAATAAAACACTTATTCAATGACTACTCGGTGAAACAGTCAAACTGTTGTCCCTCAGTAGTACGTGGGGGAGACCTGGGAAACTGTTGCCCTTGGCCTTCGGCCTTGGGCAACAGTTTCCCAGGTCTCCCCCACTACCTCGGGACAACAGTTTGACTGTTTACCTCGTAGTCATTAAATAAGTGTATAATGTTCCCTCCCTTTCCCCCAAAACGGGGGACAATAATGCCCTTGCTGTTCTTGAGAAGAAGATTTATGATGGAAAAAATCCCCTGCATATTTCTTAACGCAAATCAATATTGTGTTTTTATGTCATTTAATTGTTTGTTTGTTGTTAAACATCCCTCTCAGGAATTTTTCACTCAAATGGAGACACCCCCACTTGAAAAATAATGAGGACAAGTCGGATTTGAGGTCAACATTCATTTTAGGAGTTTTCAACCATTAAGACGTAAAGAGACAGGAACTCGATCCTTCCCTTCACCCCATCCCAGACCCCTGTTTATATTCATGACATGTATGCAAACTACTGCTTGTTTTACATTTTTAAAAAAATATGTTAATAGCCTATATACAAATACTTTAATGTGGTCCATCTCTTTGAATGATTTTCATTCCTAATTCTAGGAGGATAGGTTGATGAATGAAATGTCAAGCAATCTTATCATTGATGCACTTTTATTTCATTTAATGCAGTCATATTGTGAACATTTCCAGTTAGAATCATTAGGAGAGTGGGGATGACCTCCAGGGGGTTCAAAACCTTTATACCATTAAATTTACATAACATAATAACACAAAAAGCGCAAAATTATGTATTGTCAAATGGAAAAAGTTTCCTACTATTTAGGAGTCACATGATCATTTGCCATTACTGTTTACAGGGACTGGAAGTGTATCTTGAGATCCCCCCCCCCCCCCCCGAATTTGCAGGACTATAATATAAAAAAGACTTTGGATGCCCTCCACCCTAGAAAACAGACACCACCATAACTTCTCCTTTTATTTGCTTCTCAGAAAATTCTGGTCTGGAAGTCCCCCCTCCCTCTCAGAAAAAAATTCTGTATTTTGTAACTGAATGTAACGTCGATAACGGGCGATAACTCTTTAGAATGTGAAATTCGTCTTATTGCAGCATCGGATGACCTTTGATCCTTTAAACTTTAACCTAACCAGTTGCATTTCAGACTATTTTACCCAAATCTATACCAAAACGTGTACTTACCGACTGCCATAGCTCCAACTTCATGAAATATAATCCAATTAAACACAAAATAATTCCAACTGACATACATGCAATGATGTGTACACAACACTAGGCCTAGTACTGCACGTGCAGTGCTATCTAAAAATGATAATGGTAAAACTAGTACTTAAGTTAGGTACGTGACGCAAGCCCAATGTGATGCAGGTCTTCAGATACATTTACAGTATAAGAACAAATTTAAAATTATTATTTACAAAAGATGTTTTATCTTAACTTTGCCATCTAGGCCTATTTCCAAAAACAGGAAAGGGTGTGTTTGCGTGTGTGTGTGTTGATGGGAGAAGGGTGGGGGTTGACTAAATTGATTGGGTATAAATGGTATATGGCAGCTTTCAAGGTGTTTCTGCCTAATCAAGTATAAAAAAGTTTGTACATTTTGGAAAAAATCATCAAAAACGCTTTAAACTAATTTGAATAATATTTGTTGTTGATCTATATGAGAAAATAGATTTAAAAAGTTCCAATTATGGGCCAAAAATTTACCCCCCCCCCCTTGTTTCAAACCTAATTTACATCATTAATTGAATTCTGTTGTTTAATTTCAGACTGGTAATGAATTATGAATATGAAATACATGTACCTATAAGATCGAGGCCCATGGTGACGGGTCACATGTTCACTTGAGAATATTATGCTCAATTTGATGAATACATGGAGGCCCTATTATGTAAATTATTAAATTATATTGACTTTTTCTTTGGTAAAGCCTAATTTTAGAGGAGTGTGCATTTAGAGGCAAACTTCATATGAAGCACGATTTGTTCAAAATCTTGTACGTGAAAAGAAGAGAACACTTACTGTGTCCTTCAATTCGGCATTTTGATATATCGACAACGTATTGTCAATAAACAATGGTTATTTCAATCTTTGTTGATACCACACATATATATCCCGATAAAGTTAAAATAAAAGATTCCTCGAAGTCTAAGACATCTGTTACATATTTAGTTATTTTACTTGAAAAAGGTGTTAATGGAAATCAAACAACCAAGCTTTATGATAAACGTGAGATGACTTTAATTTTTCAATCGTCAACTTCCATTAGTTATGCAGCAATTTACTTTCATCACCCGCATACGGGATTTATATCTCTCCGTTGATTCGATATGCAAATTCATGCTCTACGTATGAACAATTTCTAAAATGAGGTAGGTTATTGACAGGCATGTTGATGAAACAAGAATATCAGCAGTCTCGTTTAAAGTCATCATTTCGCAAGTTCTATGGTCGATATAATGACCTTGAAAGCAAAAACAATTTATCATGAAGTCAAATGCTGACTGACTTTTTCATACAATTTTAGACCATTATTTGCACACTGAATTGTCAACATATTTTCCCATTATTCCCACGATCAAGACAAGGAGCACATAGCGGTCGTGACCGGTCTGCAAGGGGTGCTCGCTCCTCCATGGTACCTGATCCCACCTCTGATATTTTCATTATTTTGGAAGTTCGTGTTTGCTCAGTTCCAAATTTGTATTGTTTCAAGGACTGTTTTTCTCGAATACTTTTCGTTTCATCCTAAAATTTTCTTTTCTTTTTTGCGTTTTTTTTTCTGTTGCAAAATCATCATTAATTGTCATCAATTGCTTAAAATAACATATATCTGCTCACAGATATTGTAAGTCACCTGAATGTCAGTATATTTCCATCACAATTTAATTCTGTAAACTCTTTAAACAAGTTTTACATGCATACATCAAATATAAATTAAATAATCATTAAAGCAAAAAAAAAATCCCACATCTTGTGAGAAGGTAAAAATAGCTGAAGATAGACAAATACTACTAGTACATATATACTGAGTAGTATTAATGAATAGAAAATCATGTCTTGTCTAGCGTTGATGGTGGTTTGAGTCCGCATTGTCATTTGACAGAAATGTTCAGCTGTTGATTCCTAAAAGCAAGGTCAAATCAAGGACAAGGGGAACTCAAGTGGGAAAAAAGTGAAACAGTTGATATATATGTGTACGAACCAATTAAAATTAGCGTTCCGAAAGCCGATTTCACTTACTGTGCTAACTGTCGAGACAAAAGCTGCAAAGTCTAAATCACAGCCGGGTGTGTTATGACAACGAAAGGAACAGAACCCTGTTTCTCTTTTTCGCTGATTAGACTCAGGCTCTACTTTCCCGCGAAAAAAAACCTGCTTTCCCCAACAAATCATACTTCTTTTCCGAGAATATATTTTTACATGCAACTCTTCCATCAGTCTGGGAGTTGTGATTGTGACTTAACCTACTTTTTCTATGCTGCAATCATGGTAAGAAACATCGACATTCATTTATTTAAGATTTTGGCTTTCTCTGCGGGCATCGTTTTTTAAACATTGGTTCATCGCAAAAATTTCCTTGACAAGTCACTTTCAAAAAATTATAGCCATCACCGACCAGATTACGCCAATTTTATCCCACTGTGAGTTCATTCATTTGTTCATACTACCACTGACATAAGAACGCTCGTAGTCAATCATGTCATTATACCGGAAATCAGCAGTAGACAGTGACCTAGTGCTGGATATCCGAGGCTATTGGATAAGCGTGGAATATCAAAACAAAATTTCACAACAATCGCGAAAAAGCAGACAGGTGACTAAAATAAAATCGAGAAAAGCAGGGTGATTGACCGGAATTAAAGGTTAAAGTTTAGTTCAAATCGGACACATCAGAAGCCATGCAGCTCAAAATGACCTAAATGCTGATGTTTGACAGAGATTATACAAATAAAAACATAGGTTTCTTTATATATTTATTTACCGATCATAATAATTATTTTCTTTTTCCAAAGGCATTATGGGCAATGCCTCTTCCATCTTCTTAAAGCAGTTAATATTTTCATGTATAAAAAAAATCACTTTTCTTCATTGTTTAAAATATTTTTATGCAAGTATAAATGGGTATATATGCACCTTATTCGAGGTATGTAAAACTTACCTGCCCTATTATTCATTATATAAATTCTCCCTGCCTTTTAATGGGCTTACCTGTAAGTTGCAATTTTAGCGCTGTGTCGGAGGTTAAGAAAAACAAATAAAGGAGAAAAAAGTTTCGAACTGTTTTGCGGAAAATCACATATCACTTCAACAATGTACAAACGTTTGTTGAATTGCATACATGTACTTAATCGATAGAAGTTATGCATATTAACGATATTGATTTTGGGAGCTATGTGATTGTCTCGTCTTTATCGTCACAAGTTCGTTCTGTCGTCTGCACCTGTTATCTTGTCGTCTGTCCAACATAGGTACTTGTGATAATCTATCTGTCAGCCCCTGGGCTTTAAACGCTGAATTACAAGGCAGGATAAACATTGTGTTAAGATCTATATTTAGCCCATCGACCTCTCGCTGCCACAGTGCAATGTACACAGAGCTTTCAGCTTGTCAACTTATCACATTTCCCATAGCTGACAGACCATGTGACTCAGTGCTAATTCAGGGGCGCAATACAGGGAAAATTAAACAGATTGCCTTTGATTAGCAAAGGCTTAATGGGCTTATAGTGGTCATTAAATATGTGTATTACTATGTATTTATAAGTACTTTTAAGATCGTTGTTTAGAATTTTAACTCACGAATTTAATAGTTACTTGACGTTAATTAAAATGTCACACCCCTGCAAAGCCTCAGTTCGGCACACATTATCGCTGTAAGCCTTGTGCTTGTAGAACAACCTGTGTGACCACAGAGTCAAGCGTGTATCTTGTATACATTTTCCAGTCTCTAAACCATTAATTTAACAACAGAGATTTTTATTTCATAAATTCATTTACTGAATGTGACGAACTTATAACAAGTGTGTTAAGGTTACATCACCTGTGTGAAATATATACGCCTCAAGTTCAGGTAAGTCTTGTGCTATTGATTTTTTGGCAGGACAATAAACAGGTGTTCTTTGTGTGTTCTGTACACATGTGTAATGTTTATATGTCATTTTTATGGATGGGGATTTTATTTTTAATTAATACCAAGAGTACAAATAATTGTTTTTATTTGTGTTTTTTTTTAAATACTTGTTAACAATTAAACATGCATCTCTGTTATAAATGTAAGGTATCTTATTAATTAACATGATTAAAGGTTTTATTTTTGTATTTAGTTACAATTAAAATGTTTTTATGATGACTTTTTTAGCCTTTGAGTATAGGGGGAAGATAACTGAGATTCAGTGTTTGAATGAATGTTATGTTTAAAACAACAAATATTTTTAAAGGGGACAATAGCATTTAAATTTATAT